AATCTTGTGAGAATTTAATAAAAAATCTATACCGCGTTTATATCATACTACACACACACACACGTGTATCACCTATCTCTCATCTGTCTATCCGCAGATATACATATACCTTAGTAAGCAGAATGTAACTCTATAATTGATAGAATGGATAATTTTAAGACAAAAAAAAAACTTGGAAAAGAACAATTCCTTGAGAAGAGCATTTTATAACCCAGGGGAGGCTCTTAAAGCATTTTCATGGGCAATTGTTTTTTCTCATTCCAGCTAATGAACTGTTTTGTATGAAACACAATTTCCTGCCACAAGCAAATGTTTACTATTTAGTATGTCAAAATCCTCCTCATTATATCACCAGTATTTGTTTCCTTCAAATAGATTCTGATGCTTTCAAATTCTTATATTTCATGCATAAAGTGTAAATGCAGTATATTCAAAGATGGGACCTTGGAAAGCAAATGGAAATGCCGAGTCCTTAAAATCAGTATCTTATGATCAAAATATATGACTGCCTACATTTGTGGTTAACAATTTTCCCTTTGCAGCTACCATGTCAGCCAGGATTTTTAAAGAAATATTAAAAAGAATAGTTTCCCACCATTTATCAATTTTGCCGTAGACAAGAATCAAGTAAAACCTTCCTTCTGTAACCAAACTTAAATATTCATGTCAAAATATGCCTATGATTTTCATTCTGATTTATTTAAAACACCTTCTGTCCCATAGATAAAAAGCATTTGCTAATCGTTCAAAGAAAATATGGTTCTCAACCAATGGAATTACCCTACACGTTCGAACTATGCTGTATACAAGGAAACTATTCATTCTAGTGAGTACACATTGACTCATTAATTTGAACCACAGAGCTGGTATTTTCTACTCAAATTCTATTTCACAGAAAATATGGAATTATTACAAACCAACCAAAGTCCACAAAGACATATTTTAACTGCAAAAATATCTAAAAGGTCAACCTAAATTATGGTAAATGATTTGTGAAAACTACATTTTTTAAAAATTGAATCAAGAATAAAATGATTGAACATCAGTCTATAAAAGTTATGGAACAGTCTGTGAAATATCTGAATGATATCCAGGACAAAAATAAACACATACATTAACGAAGGAAAAGCCATTTAAAGATAAATCAGAATTCAAAATCAAAATAACTAAAATGTCAGGTTGACAAATTTTTATCATATATTCACAAGTGTTTCTAACATTGTATTTACTTTTGTCGCTAGGAAGAGAAACCATTAGAAATAGAAGCACCTTGGGGCACCTAGGTGGCTCAGTTGGTTAAGCATCAGACTTTGTTTGGCTCAGGTCTCTGAGTTCCTAAGTTGGAGCCCCTAGTCGGGCTCTGTGTGGACAGTTCAGAGACTGGAACCTGCTTCAGATTCTGTATCTCTCTCTGTCTCTGCCCTCCCCACTCACACTCTGTTTCTCTCTCTCAAAAATAAATAAATACTAAATACAATTAAGAAATAGAGGCATCACAAAAAAGTAGAGGCATTTCCTTTCAAAAAGTGGAAAAAAATAAGAGTGACAGAGTGACAGGTTTGCTGGGGCACAGTCTCTAGATTTTCATGTCACCATATTGACTTGTTCTCCTTGTACCCAAGTCAAATGATTGCCATGCCTTACCATGAATCTTTGTCATCACATAATATTTACTATGTCTTGACACGCCACATTAAGTTTATGATTTCCTAAATGATATTTTTAATTCATACATAACCTTGATGAAAAAAATGAATTTTTTTTAAGTGACTGAAATCTCAGTGAAAAGTTGACAAACAGATATCTCTGAATAAATGCTACTTACATACATACTCCTTCAATATTGGGCAAATTTAAGAGTTCTGATAGTAATCTATGTCATTGTAAGTTGTGTGTACTCTCTATATTTTCTGTTATAAATTTACCAAAAAATTACGCAATTTCTTTTGTTTATGGTAAAGAACAATGTTCAGTGATGCGACAAGCAAATGTAATATTACAAAACACTCTATTAAATTGGTAACTTCAACTATATTCTGTATTTATATGTTGAAATATGTTGATCTCACCAATAGTCTATAAATTTACTAAGACCCTTAAGGTCTCCATATTTAGAGTTTCAATTACTGCAGATGAGCATTGTTACTGTGAAATTTATAAATATTTCCATTTAATTTCCAGGGTTAAATTCAATGACTGAATGCATTCATTAGAATTTTTAAATTATTGTTTTCATACTCATTATGTAGTATAATATTTTCATGCATGAATAATAATTTATGTAAATAATGCCCATTCTAAATTACTGCCAGAAAAGTACAAAGTTCAGTGCCCGGATTAAGCCTGTTATCAAGGTGATTATGTTTAGAGACAATTTAAAAGTTGAAAAGACTTTCTCCAATTTAAGCAAAGGTGCTTAAATTAAAAATTTAAACATCATTCTGGTAATACTAAATTCTAATTAGAACTAGAAAATATAGTACTAGTTTAAGACTACATAGCATTATGTTTTGAACAAGCTGATCTAGTGTTTTATATCTAAATCAAATTTCCTTTAGAGGTCTTGGATAAGACATCAGAATTTTATTATATGATTTGGTTTATATTAACTATATGATGGACAGGGTCATCAAAATAAAACCTCATGGGAAACAAGGAACCCTGAATCCCTCCAAGGATTCAATGTTCTGGTTCCAAAAAAAAAAAAAAAAATTAGATAATATTCTGACCATTATCATTGGTTCTGCTTTATATTTTATTTGAATAGGCATGTTTGTGTATTTCATGCAGTATCAGTAGTGTTAATAAAATCCACCTTCTCCAGTGACATTGCCTTCAGCTGAATCTAATTTCACTCTGGGCACTTAGACTAGTGAGAAAGCAGTCGGTGCCCTAGTGAAAGCTTTACTCTCTTCTAGATAGATTCTTTAGTCTGTAATCCTCTGTTGAGACTACAGTTAACTTTGTTTATCCAGATAGTACACATTGATTTTCTCAGGAGACCTTTATGCTAATGGAGAAATATTTTTAAATACAGATGTTAAATATTATATAGAATTTTGGTTTTGCTGACAAAGCACTATCTTTTTTTTTTTCCTTTCGAGAAAAAGGCTGTGTCTGCTTGTAAATATCAGACTATATGATAGATATTTAAAATATAAATTTCAAAAAGAGCACGTCCACATAGCAACAGTTTTAAAACGCACATGTCACTTAGCTCCCAGCCCTATTCACTTTTCCACTCATTTTATAAAATAGCTCATAAGTATTTTTTCCAACAGAGACAATCTCACCAATCATGTGTTATATAAAATGACAACGAGCAATACCAACAAAAAATAGCCCAGAAAAGTCCATAGAATTACTCTTTTGACCATCATTCAATACCAACCAAGTCTCCACAACATTTACCTTAGGAAACTGAGCAAAATGTAATATTAAAGTGCCAACTTTGTCTGGAAGGAGACGACAATTGTCACGGCTTCTGAAACAGGGAAGTGTTACCGACCTTCTGAGCAAATGTCAGATATGTTGACTGGACAAGGTAACTTCACAGGCAGCTAGGTAGGGTGCCTTAGAAACACTTTCACAATGTTGAGCGAAAAAGAAATTATGTGAAGTCAGTGTATGTGGAAACTGGTAGGCACGCACAGAGGCAAAAGTTAATAACAGCACCGATCGACCTTAAGTTGGCTTGTTACTCTCCAAATATGAAATGATTCCCCAACGGTAATGGACTTAAACACCTTTAAGTATATTAAATATACTCATGCCAGTTGATATTATATACATATATAGTATATAAGTATATGTACATGTATAATATATATGTATAGTATGATACATATATTTATATAATATGTTTATATACATAAATGCCCTGGCCTGAAAGATATTGCAGTAAGAATAGTAAACAATCCTAAATGTCATTACGCCCAAAACTTTAAATAAAAGCATGAATTTGTCTGTCTACCTATCTGTGCAAAAAACACACGCCACCCTTATGTTTTCTGGTAATTCTATAGTAACTAAATTCAACTGTGTAAAGCGCATGTAGATTTTATCTCTCCACAAAGAGTGATTTTTTTTCCCCCAAGTGCACTGAATACTCCAAATAAAAACATAGGCAGATGTGATCAACCCAGAAACAGGTAAATGGGATCTGCTGTAAATAGAGATTTGCCTAGACCCCTACCCACAGTCTATTTTCAATTCACAGGCTCCAGAGTTTATTTATGCTAAACATAATAGTCTTTGTTTTACCCATGAGAGCAAATCTTGAATACCTCTGTACAACAAGACTAAAACAGACACACCTCAGCATTTACGCTTAGAGTGTTACTAATTTCTTAAAACCGAATGCCTGAAGCGATCATCTCTATTATTTCCTCTCTCAAAGGGCGTACTCTCTTTCACCTTTTCAAAATTTTTGTCCCAAAGTAGTTCAGCGATATCAAGACTCCAAAGGGTACCAGGCACAAACTCTGGAAACACAAGCAAACTCCACATGCCTTCAAATGACCAAACGGCAAAACAAAATCATCTTCTCAATTAAAAGTTTCAGCTTGGACCAGAAAGACTCACAATGGAATTCTCTTTAATTAAGCACTAACTTCATTACTGGCTACCAAAAATTTTAAGACAACACTTCTGAATTGAAAATGATTTTTCACAGAAAAGCAGTCTTGCTAATTGGTATTCAAAATTTTCCAAACTTCTCCACTACATGTCAAAAGAAAAACCACTTCTCCAATTAAAAAGAGCGCTCCCGATAAAGGGAAATTGTAAACACAGGTTTTGTGCTGGGAAATTCGGCAATTAGACTAGACAGTGTTCTGCCATCATCAATATATAAATCTAGAATATAAATGTCAAATATTTATAACATCCAACCACCTCTGAAAAAGCAGCTTGTATTTGCATTAGAATCTTTAATCCAGAGTGGCAAGGGTGAGGTCGTCTGGACAGTATGTGTGTGCAGAGCACATTAAATGTCCTACCTTCATACAGGGCTTTGAAACCTTGGGCACTCACGGCGAAGTCTGTTGTGAACCACAGCGCGAGGATAGATCCTGTGCTGACGATCGAGGACGGCAGCTGAAATCCCGATAATCTAAACCACAAAAAAATACATGAACATGGTTAAAAAGCCTAAATGTGTTATTCAAGCTTATTTGATGAAGTCACTGTGTTTCTTCTTTCCCTGCACTATGTTTGAGACACATCACGAAACAATTACAACTTTCATACCCAAGGTGTTGCCAGGTGATTGAAATTAGGCACATTCAACTAATGGTTTATTTAAATAATTTTGGCAAAAATTCTTTCTTGAAGAAATTGTATAATGCATAAGACAGGGAACGCAAGGCAAAGGCATCCTCGTACGTGCTACATGACAAAATATGATTTTGCACGTACTTTATTATTTTCCTCTTAATTTGTTAGATGGGTTGTCACATCTCATAGTCAATGTGCTTATTCTTACTATCTGCTCAAAATAAATCAGAGCTTTCTTGAAAAGAAAACATACTGGCCACAGCATAATAAACAAAAAACCTATTGTTCCCTTGAGCAGAGGTCAAATGAATTGATTTTAATTTGTGGTTTTCAAGACAAATCTTTTAGATTCTGAGATATGCTTTTCACCTATCACTAGGTTTAGATATATTTAGAAATTTTAATGATGATAGAGTCAGCACTCTGAATGAGTGAACTAGCATAATAATATATACTTTATGCATAATGCGTTATAAAGTTACAGGTTTCCAAAAGGTCAAAGAGACACTTCATCGGTTTATTTTTTACCTAAAGTTTGCTAATTAAGTAGCTTGTCTCTAAATATGTGATTTAGTATAGTGAGAACACAAATCTCTGTCTGAACACAAATCCAAAAGGAGTAAGCCTGAATGTTCATTCCTTTTAGAGAAATTCTGATTTGCCAGTAAGTCTATGGGTATTAAATACCTAATTCCAGCTGCCGTAGGTTTTAGAATCAAACTAAAAACTTGTTAGGGGAAAATAACAAAACAATCGCCAATCACTAAACAGCATAATTCTAAATATCCCTGGATCGAAGAGGAAATGTCAAAGGAAATGAAAAACAAATACCTTGAAATGAATGAAAGTAAAAAGACAAGATAGCAAAAGTTAGAGGACTCAGCTAAGTGCTGAGAGGGAAATTAATAGTATTAAAATATACAGTATAAAAGTGGAAAGATCTCATATTAGGAACCTAAGCTCCCATGTGAAGAACTTAGAAAATAGTGAAATAAACCTAAGGCAAGGAGAAGGCAATACATACAAGATAAACGCAGAAATCAAAGAAACCTAAAACAGAAGAACAGAGAAAAACAATGAAACAAAAGCTAATTCTTTGAAATGATTGACAAAATTAACAACGATCTAGCAAGGCCCACACAAAAATTGTGTGTGTGTGTGTGTGGGGGGGGGGTAGAAGATATAAACACCGAATACCAGGAAT